GTCAAACTCTGTTACCAAGGTAGAGTAACAATGCGGTAACAGAATTGACAGTTCATCAGACAATTCTGTCAATTCTGTTACTTTACAATTCTGTTACTTAAAGGGTCAACTCTGTTTATGAACTATTTTCACAAAAAAACAATAAAATTGTTGTTTAAAATCTAATAAACATTATTGATTTATTTTTGCACCCACCCTTATAATATTTCAACATATTGGTACTCAGCTACTCGTCCACTGCGATGCGTGTTGCATTAGCGCAGTCATATCTGACTATAATGTCATATAGCCTATAACACGCTCTCACACGTTTATTATTTGAACATTTTGGGAGGAGTAAAATTTACATGTGTGGTTTCAACAACCAGATGGATTTACACTTGTCCAGTTTCATCTGGAATGCATCCCAGACCACCTCCTGAAGTGGTTTGAGCGATCGGATTTATATCCGTCTCGAATGCGTTTCGGAGGGCATTTACACCTGGCCTTTCCACGATCGGATAGCTGTCCGATCAGACAAAACGCATTAAGTGACCAGGTGTAAACAGCCCCTTACTGTGAACTGAGTCGCTCTGAGATGCACGTAGGCAATCTACACGCACGTAAATAATTAAAGCGCATATATTAAACCTGCATCGCATATATTTATTTAATTGAATCATAGCGTTTGTGAATTCACAATATTATTATGATTTTTAATGGGCTTAATATATCATGCAGCCTTGAAAATGGTCTAATAATGCGTTTCATGTATTTTGACGGTTAACGTTACTCGACACGGGCAAAATGCAATCGAGCATTTTTTATAATCGAGTAGGCTACTCGAACTGAATCGAGGAATCGTGACAGCCCAACTATACTCAAATGGTCTCCACAGTCAGATCTCAATCCAGTAGAGCACCTTTGGGATGTAGTGGAAAGGGAGATTTGCATCATGGAAGTGCAGCCAACAAATCTGCAGCAATTGTATGATGCTATCACGTCAATATGGACCAAAATCTCTGAGGAATGTTTTCAGCACCTTATCGAATCTATGCCACAAAGAATTAAGGCAGTTCTGAAGGCAAAAAAAACCCCATCCCGGTACTACCAAGGTGTACCTAATAAAGTGGTTGGTGGTGAATGTATATAAAACTTCCACCCTGAGTCCCTAACATTTGGCACCAGATCCACATTAAAAAAGCCAAATACTAGTATCAGTAAAACACCTATTCTTTTAACAAAACATGTAGTTACATGTAGGTTTAAACAAACAAGTTAGGCTACATACTGTTCAGTGTTGTGTGAAGGCAGAATTTGATAGTCATCACATGTCCCCTCTTTTACATCTGAGTGATTCTAATGCAGAAAGAAAGCAATAAAGGGAGTTATATTTATGGCACTTATATTTTCAAATTCAATTTAATGGAGAACTACACAGTTAGAATTAACGTGTTATTCTTACAGTGCAGAAACAGTTCCAGATACTCTGATATTAATTGAGGCAATCTTTCAAATATATATTATCATTAACAATAAAAATCTTTCAGACCATCTTTCTCACACTTACCTCAGGCAAAGGATAACCATCAGAGGGATTCTGCAAGACCACTGTAACTAAAGAGGCATAACATTATTTTCACTAGATGAAAAGAGATTATTCAACACATTTTATTTTACACATTTTACATATCACAGCTGTTAAAAAACAAAAAAAGAACAACTTGATGACACTTCCTTAACTTACAGTTTTGATTTATAGTTAGGTTTCCCTTCACACTTGTCTGGCTAATTGTTGGAGCACTGACTGGACTTCCTTGATCCGCTGAAGCAGTGACATTCAAATGTGAAGGAGTATGAGCTAAAATTGTCCTTACATGGTCCCTTACTGAGAGAAATTAGAAACAAATAACAGAAAACAGCACAAAAAGTACAGCACAATCAGTGATATTGGGGAAATTTACAGTTTACCTGTGCAACAAAAACTGATTGTTAACATGATAATATTGTAAAAAATAGAGTTGATTAATGATCATGTTTTAAGTTAAATGAATTCTCTATAAGCCAGGTGAAATACCCACAATAGACAAAATGTCATCAACTGACTATAAACTCAAACTTCCCAAATGACACCTATTCAGCTCACAGTTTTACATTCTTTCTTACCAGGTTTATTTTGCAAAGGAGTTGAACAAGGAGGTATGTTTTCTGATTCGAGGTCTTTTTCAACTGGAAAGATGTGAAGAAACAAAGAGAGGATGGAGACATTTTAAACAGCTTGACACAAATAAACAAATGAGAAATTTGTTGTTGTCACAAAAGGTTTGGGAAAAAAGATTCAATACGCACTATTATTGTCAAAAAATAGTCACTTTCAAACCAAACAGTTTTCTGATGGTCAACTGCAAATCTGCATTCAAAATTACAGATCTATCATCTACCGTGGCCGAGAGTGCTCAACACGCTGCAACTTCACAAAACACAACCGCAGTAAAGATAGTTTGCGGTTTGATATTCAGATTTCTTTTGGCTATAAATACACAGCGCGCTGTCATAGACATGAAAATAAAACCGAGTGTCGTTCTCCATGATTTGTGAATTCAGGTGACGCTGTCCTCCGGGCCGAAATCAGTTTTTTTTTTCGTTGCGACTCTCAATTTTATAATGTCTATAGCTCCAAAAGTTGGACACTTAGAGGATTGAAACCGGTGTCAATTTCACCAGCTCGATTTGTGAATTTTTTCACAGTTAAGCTCTTGTCCGTAAACCCCTTGGTAAGTCCGCTATAAGGAATGTGAAAAATAGGCGTTCTTTATGTTTAACGTCTATTACCAATAAAAACGCAGACTGCTCGAATAC